TAAAATATGTAATACCTCAAGAATCTGATCACCAGCTTTCAACATCCCAAGTCGGCCGGCAGTACTGGACTCTAACACGTGACGTATGAAGATCCCTTTCGGTCCCCGTCCTCCCGCGTCTCCTTTACCCCCAACGATACTAATTCCYAGACCACTRTCAGGCTCACGGACAATCTCRACGACGCGGACGTCTTCTGCGTCAAATGGTACATCGAACGGTGTAGTGTAGGAATCATTCTGTTGGGCTGCCTGTGTTTCTTCTGCGCTTCTACACGAAAAAGAAAAAAAAAATGTATTGAATCTTCAAAAAGGAAATGTGACACACTCGCTCACGAGACCCAACTCTCGTAAGTGTATGCTACCGCGGGTTGAAGGGACTAGATTGACTTTTCATGTATTAAAATACATTAAAATAAGATCATACTTCTCCTGTACGTCTTGCTCGATGGCGAATCCTTGTGAATCGTCTGATGATATCGAGCTATCGTCGTCCTTGAAGGTAGTGGGTGACTGCTGTATACTTCGTTCAGCGGCGTTCATGTCACTTCGGATGAACGAAAAGCTAAAGAGGCAGAGCAATCTTAGTTTAATTCGTTACGATTGTGACTATAWTTTAATTGGTGACAGAAAATGTTTGTTTTCCATAATGATGTCGGCGTGATGCACTATGGGATATACATAACAGCAAATTGAGCGAGTTCCGTTTCAAGCTGTTTTGTGGACAACAAGCATTTCCTATTTCGGAGACAGGTTTTTAGCATGCTCTAGCGAATACTCTATTGCACAGGCATCTTTTGTTATGTTCTTCAGAAGCATTTTCAACGTCAAAGTAACGTCAATGTCGCAAACAACCTTTTTGAATCTATCCGCCATCTTGACACTATTACATCAATACCATCATGCATTTCGCCGAAATGACGTCATTATTGGAGAAGAACGTTCTTTGACATTATCTAAGTACCTGATATCTTTTTGAAGTGACTGCTTACGTAAAACCGATCTGAAAATAAAAAGAGTATACGTTAATAAAAGGACGCCCCGATAAACAAAAAKAACRCTCTCTCCTCTTACATTTCCMCCCRCCCCTTCCCCCACAGGCTAAACTAGACGTTCTAATGCAAAGTACCTTGCTTCRTGGCTAGTAAGCCCAAGCAGACTCTGGTCGTTAATAGCAACAATCTGGTCACCAACCCCCATACGTCCATCACGTCCAACCGCCCCRCCCTGTAAAATTGACTTGATAACGCAACCGTAATCATCGCCTTCATCTCCTTTTAAAGTGATTCCTGAAAGACAAAGATATCATGGCGTTAGAAATACAACTAGTTGTAAGAATGATAGATAAAGGCATGCATTGTTTAGAATGGATTTTAGTCTTCTTGGGTTACTTCAGGCTCCTGATGTATCTATTGCGCATGCTCGTACACGATTTCCTAGCATATCCCACATGGTTCAGTCCTTACCTAGCTTKCCAACCTGTTGTCGTCTGATGGTAATGGTTTCCAGTCGCGATTGAACCTTGTCTGGTAGATTGTCAATATCAATCGAATCACCAGAGAACAGTAATGGCGGACCAAAATCAAACTTAGAAGAATGGTCACTATCTGATTCTGCTCCGTCGTCTTTTTTGACTTTTTCTGTGATGAAAAGATATCAAAACAATCATATCATCATCATCATCATCATCATCACATAACACACCATTTTTTACACATTAAACATATTTTTTAGGTGTATAATAACCGACGCTGTACAAAAAATATCTTGGTAAAAGTCAGTGAAGTATTCTTGGTATAACCAAGGTGCATTACCTATTGTATCATTGAGGCTGATATCTGCTCTGCCTTCTCGCTCTTCATTATCAATATTAAGCATTAATGCCCTCGTTGAGTCGGGCGGTGATTCGCCAAAGTTGCTCTCGTCATCAAAATCGTCGGGAACTGGGACTGGCTTGGCCACGCCTATAACCACTTCGCCTAGAGACGAACATATGGTGAAAACAAGGCGAAGATTAAAAAAGATAAACAACATACATGACGTCATACATATACTGATACAATACACGTGTGATGTCACTAAATTTACACCTGACGTCACTCAAAGTTGCAATTGACCTCACTGATACTCAAATATGATGTCATTCATCGTACCCCACTAACCAGTCCTTGGCCATGTTTACCTTTCTTAGTGCCTTTCAGCGTTTGTACAGCATGTTCCAATGASGCATGCTCCAGGTTTACGTCATTGACAGACATTAATCTATCTCCCGGATGTAGCCTCCCATCATGCTCAGCGACTCCTCCATTGACAAGACTRCGTATGACAATTACTGTTTGCTCGGGGTTGGAGGGATCCTTTKAACAATACAACAAAGAACGAAAAATATTTTCTGGGTGGCTGTAATCGAGTATATTTGATCTTTATCATCACCTGATGGGGGAAGAGGGAGAGGAAGGAGAGAGGTGGGGCTGAAAAGGAATGAAAGCCACCTTACAAAGCGGTTAGATGCGTTCTTATTGGTACAAAAGGTAACACATGATTGACAGCCCTTCTCTTCCCCCCCCCTCTCCCTAGAACCACCACGTCAATGTAAGTGGCATTGTTAGTGGCGTCGCTAGCAGTATTATATGTTTGTTCTTATTGGTCTGATTGTTCATGTACCTGATAGTCAAGGATGCTAAATCCAAGTCCCTTCTCTTCTTTCTGTAGCTTCACAAATTCGACTTTATCAGACCACATGGACTGACCGCTGGTTGACTGAATTGTATTAACAGACTCAGCAGCTTCGTCTTGACGTCTGCCAATACTTGGAGCTGAAGAAAGAAAATCAATAACGAAATATTACGGATTAATGAAACACTTTTGACACTTGGGCATTTTAAGGTTCATTCAACCCTCGTTGTAACGGACGTCTTGGTGACCGTTATTAAGTGTCCGTATTAGCGAGTGTCCGATGTTAAAAGAGTTATTTGACCTCAMTTCTCTGGAGTGGGATATCGACGAGACAAGAATCTAATGTAGTAAGGGGTAAAAATACCTTCAAATCCTGGTGCTCCGCTTTCCAGTGCTTCCACTTGTTCAGGTGTTAKAACATTACTTTCATTCGCCAAAGCGTCCTTTCGCCTCGCGACAACTAATCGAAACTCTACTGGCAGGGACTGAATTAGGGTTACTACTTCACTGTGTCCCAAATCSAGTACTCCAATACCGTTTACCTATACAAGATACTCTATAAGTATAGTACACGAAGTATGATCCTAGAGTTTAAGTCAATGTGCAGCGTTGTCATTTTGTACAACAAAGGATGATGGGAAATATAGTCCTCGCACTTTTTAATGTACGTAAATATAGTTTTGAAAGCTGCTCCTGTTTTAACAGAAACGGCACAATTACAGTCAACTCTCTCGTAAGCGACCACCTCGGGATCATGAAAAAGTGGTCGTTTACGAGAGATGGTCGCTTACGAGAAAGTTTTTTGTCACAGATTTTATATGGGAAATAATTATAACGGGAAACTTAAAAGGTGGTCGCTTACGGGATATGGTCGCTTACGAGAGTGGTCGTTCAAAGAGAGTCAACTGTACTTGCACTTTGTGGAGAAAGAAAAAAAAAAACGCTTTTGAGAAGAAAGAGTGAATATTACATTTCCCATCATGCTTTGCTGTACAAAATGGCGCCGCTGGTCACTAATTTCCCATCATGCTTTGCTGTACAAAATGGCGCCGCTGGTCACAGCCTATTTACATACTTCTATCAAGTGGTCTCCTGGTTTAATAGTTCCATCAACACCAACCGGTCCTTTAGGGTTGACCGTGTGAACTCTATGCCATGGTGGTGATCCATCTAGATAAAAAACAAAACAACTGGTCATTGTGAGAACCAATACAGTTAACTCTCAATATAACGGGCATCATGAGGACCGTAATTAAGTGTCCGCAATACCGAGTGTTCGCTGAAGTGGAGCCTGCGAGAACCAATACACTTAACTCTCAATATAACGGGCATCTTGAGGACCGTAATTAAGTGTCCGTAATACCGAGTGTTCGCTGAAGTGGAGCCTTTTTTCAGTTATTTCTTTGAAACGGGGTTTTATACAATGTCTGTAATAACAGGTTGCCCGTTATATAGGAGTGTCCGTAATAAAGAGGTGTCCGCAATACCGAGTGTTCGCTKTAAGTGGAGCCTTATTTCAGTAATTTCTTTGAAATACAATGTCCGTAATAACTGGTTGCCTTATAAAGGGGTCTTCGCAAGTCGATACTTGACTGTGGTCACGACAAGAAGAGAAGACAAGTGGTGAAAAAAMCATCCCCACCCTACCCCTGACAAACGTACCATGTGGATACTGAGTTCCTTCAAGACTAATTCCCAGTCCACCAGAMGGACTTGTYTTCTTCATCTCTGCGACAAGGATSTCAACATCTTCGCCAATCATAGTCCTGTAATGCTGCTTGATGGCTTCGGTGTCTAAGGTTTGGAGATCTGAAGAATTATGAATACAATGGAACCTACTACATTGAACAACTATTAAACATGACACTGCGCCCTCTCTTATCTACGCTAGAATAAGTGCAAAACGTCATTTTTTTTGTTTTGCATAAAAAAGTGCTATAGTAATTGTACTTTTCCTGACAAGAAAACCGAAGTTTCTGGAGTAGCCTGAATATACTTTGTTCTAATTATTTCTAATACGATTTGCGTCGCGTATGACTATAAACCAAGAAGTACTCGTTTTCAGAAGATGAAGATCTTTTGAATAATTGACATCCATCAATCACGTGTACCTTTTTGGAGTTCGTCCTCTTCATCTTGTACACTTGATTCGGCGTCAGCTTCAGTGACTTCTACACTRGGTACAGCAGGCAAAACGTCTGGTCTTGAAACTAAAAGAGATTTGAATGTTATTTTCTCTGACAATAATTTTTGAAATAGCTGTACATAGATCCTGCAAACACGAAGAAATACAGGTCCATATATTGAGAATTTATTTACCTGGAGACTCTAGTAGGGTAGACTCGTTGTTCTGTAGTATATGTCGCGCAACTTTAAGTCTCACAACCGGGCCCGTCTTCTTAAGAATTTCAACGGCTTCTTGATTGTCTTTGCCATGTAAGCTAACATTATCAACCTGGATATCAAATGAAATCTTTAGAAAATTTATGTTTCATRTAATTGGAAACTTTCATTTATGTTCGTAACATTCATCCATTTATTTAGTTTCATTTCGTAGTTTAAACTTTCAATAGTTCCTCTGGCCATTCAGTTATTTTAATCATTCATTCATTGATCTATCCATCTTTTTATCTATACATTCTTGTTCACATTTATTTTATCACCCATTTGTTCATCCATTCAAACAATTCTCCATTTTCTAMTCCATATGTAATTGATTATCATACTTTATATTGTCCTTACTTCAATGATCTGGTCATTCACTTTTAGTCTTCCATCGCTTTCAGCTGTGCTGCCTTCGATGATGCTCTTGATAAAAATACCCGATAATTGATCTAGAATTAATAGCAGAGAAATGTYTCACATTGTTTCATGTTCCTTTATACAATCATCACTTTGTGCACTACTTGACTCACTTATTTGTCCATTCTTTAGCTAAACGTAATTTCTTAATCTTCTTATTTCTTTCATTCTTTTAACCACAAATGTTTGCTTTTCGGTTGAGATAACTGTCTTATTGACTAATCAATTCATTTTTCACTCATTATCCCTACTTTATACTTTCCTTTAACTCCTCTCTTAACCCTCTCTCTTTCCTATATATATTCATTAACCTGAAGTATTTTCTCCAACGTAGCCAGCAATTGTTATGCCAAGCCCTTTAGTTCCTTTTGCCAATTCAATATCAAACGTTTCAACATTTTGATCACCCTACAAGAGAACAATTCACAATAATAAACAGCAACATAATGGAGAGCAAAATAATATGTAGAAAAGGCATACTGTACTTAAAACGGAGAGAGAAGGAGGGAACAAAAGAATAAAGAATAGAGGGTGGATGGGTGGATGGGTGGTTGGAAGAAAAAAATGGAAAGAAGGAAGGGAGATATGTACATGTATAAATAATATTGAAAGTATTGAGTGGAATAAAGAACACACCTCTTCAAAATACGGAGTGTCATCAGCAGCAGAAGGAGGCTCTTTCACCATTCTCGACACTACTAACTTGACATGTTGGTCAGCTTTACGCAACACTTGAGCAACTTGTTCGCTTCCCATTCCTCCAACATTGACATCTCCTATTTGCATGATTTGATCCCCTTCTTGAAGACGGCCATCCTAGAATAAYAYCRCAATAGCACACTATAACTTGTCGTATTATTGCCATTAAATGAGCCTTTGCAGCAACGCTTCTCATTGTTTTATAATTATGCATGCTTTCATGCATTCAGATTCATTCAATCAGAAATTCATTTCATTCATCCACTTGTCCATGAACTTACCCTATCAGCAACTCCTCCTGGAAGAATAGTCTTGATTGACACCCCTGAACTCCGCCCACCAACTATACCAAAGCCCAGTCCACCTCCATCGTTATGAAGCATAACTGTTTCTATGTGTCGTGTATAAGATGCTTCTTCAATCTCTGGCACCTGATGAGAAGGGAATGGGAACTAATGATTGTCAGCATTCAGCAATAGTCTCCTTYASGGTTMCCTGCGCCATCTTRAAAGGTAGCYRTGCCTTCACATTGAGGCGAGACAACCGTTGAGCGTGCAATGATAGATATCTGTGAATAATTGTCTGTAGGTGTGAAAGAAGGTTTCTATCATTGCACGCTCAACAGTCGTCTTGCTTCGATGCAAARGCACSGCTACCTTTCAAGAYGGCGCAGAGAACTGTGAAGAARACWRTTATCATCATCAYTGTTATCACTATCATATTGAACACTAAAGTTAATCATGATCAACCACCACAACTCATCAGTTGTCAATCAACGTCAGAAGATGTCATACATCATCTGACATCAATCATCATAACATCCTTAAAGATGTATTATAATCATTGATAATAATAACAACAAAACGACTGTCAACCAAAAGCTTCATTATCTTAKTATCCAGAACAATTTATCACAATTGATAGTATCCCCAATGTCACTGTACCTGTACTTGATTGGCAGGTGGTACTTCTTGTTCAGTGTTTTGTGACACAGAACTCAAATTCGATGGAGTCCTAGATATCACTGAGCTTCCWCCMGRYGTAGTTCTTGATAGATTATCAGGCCTTGGAACACCTCCTCTTGCAACGATTAGTTCAACATGTCCTTGKGTCTTCTGTAGCATTCCTATAGCCTCTTGGTGSGAAACGTCACTATCAAGAACTTGACCATCAATGCAGAGGATCTGGTCACTCTCATAAAGACGTCCATCTCTGAAAATAAAGTTTACATAGTTATATTTATTTAAGAAATATAAAACGGCGCGCGTGTCTCTGTCCTCTGATATAAACACGGTGGGAGTTCGAAAAACACGAGAGAAGCAAGCTTAGGAACACGAGCGTAGCGAGTGTTTCTCTTGCTTCTCGAGTGCTTTTCAACTCCCACCGTGTTTATATCAGATGACAGAGACACAAGCGGCCGTTTTATATTTCTTTTATAAAATTTTTCGAGCGAAAAGAAAATTTTGCCGGTAAGCCGTGTCTCTGTCCTCTGATATAAACACGGTCGTCAGCCAATCAGAGCGCGCGTTATATATCAAAAATTTTATAAATAGCTATAAACACAGGGCAAATAACAAAACATTAATCATCTCCTACAACTACAGTATATAGAATACTTCATTATAGAGGACCTCTGGACAAAGCTCTGAATAGCATGAAAAAATTTAAATGTCATGAACTTATTTTTCAAAACTAGTCAAAAACACTTTTGAGTTTGACAGAAGCTTTTACAACTTGTTTTTTTATGTCAATTAATAATCACAAAGATAGCAGATATTCAGCAAATACACTATTTATAATTTGTATAATCTTTACATACCTTTTTGCAACTCCATTTGGCTGAATCTCTTGAATAAAGATCCCAAGTTCTCCACGATTCTCRCTCTTCAARCCAACAACACTGAACCCCAGACCACCCTTCTCAGGTTTTACAAGATCCACTACTTCCACTTCCCTTCCTTGTGCCAAAGCTTCAACAGTAGAGACAAACTCTGGGTCTGAAGCATGGTTTGATTGAGAAATTGCACTTATAATCCTTTCAYGGTTTTCTTCAGAATCAAAGTCATTATCAGGAAGTTCAGGTTCAGAATTTAATGCAACGGCTTCAACTTCAGTAAATTCCCYTCTCTCTTCGTTTACATCATTRTAGTCATCATCATTAGAAAATATTAATTCCCCTGTTGGTGAAAATTCAAAATCACTGATGGCCTCGGGAGATGAACTGTGTAACTTTTCATTKAGATCTCGGATTGATTGTTGAATAACCAAGAGTTGTTGGAAGAGAGGGCTTTCTAGCATTATYTTGATTTTTTCCAATTCATCAGTGCTTTCTTTGTCTCCTTGTGACTTAAGTTTCTTTTGAAATCCATCAATGATTTCAACTGCTTTGGTTGTTTCTAAATAATAAAAATGTTCAAAACAAAAACAAAAGGATTAGAAATTGATTTTATAAACATGAAAATAGCAATAACATGATGACAAAAAAGTTGTAAGCTTTGCTATGAATTTTGATTGACTTTTTAAGGGTTTCGCAAATTACACTTTAAGAATCGACAGATACAAATTGCAGATACAGAATGTACTTTAATTATTTTGATTAATTAAGCCTTGTAGATCTTCCTAGCTCTTGTATGACAAAGCTCCTACGTGGATTTTGTCATCTGACAAACACAGGACACAAACATCATTTGTCTTATTTTGACAATTATTGTGCAAAGAAGTGGCAGATTTTGTACACAACCTTTGCACCTGCAGAACATAGCTGAGCTTACAACGTTTTAAATTGATAAATTTTAAAGTTTACATAAAGCAGATCTAAGAAGATTTATAGAAATAGTATTGAAGACGGTAAATTTGTTTGCCTTTTTTATGCACAACAAATTAGTCGAATGTTGGTGTTTACATTTGTAATCTAAACACTTTTAAGCTACATGCAGCTAGATTATGAATTTAAGATAAGATTGATAAACTTCTTAAATATTCTAATCAAAATTCGTGAAAATCAAATATTGTAGGGACTTAGGAAAGCTCAGAGAACACGTTTTAACTTAGACAACCAAGATTCAAGCTTAATAAGTTAAGTATTTCAATGTCCTGCATAATACCTTGTAAATTTTAACATCATACAAAGACTTTTAAAGTTCATACGATTTAAAAAACCTTTGCCACAATAAATACAGTTGAGAATTTAAAGAAGATTCGATTYTTACCTTCAGTATTCGGCATTTTTTCTAAGTCATCGGCATAAATTCCAATTTTGTATTAATATCACCAAGTGAGATTCTCTTCTCTCGCACCAGGATCTTCCTTGTCGAATTTAAGGAAATTTCTTCGCCAAATTTATCCTCTAGCGTAAGATCACATATCTGTTAGCATTACTTTGAAGTAATATCAGCTTAAATCAAAGAAATAAGGAGAAAAAAAAACATAATTTCAGCAACATTCTTTTCGTGGTTTACATTTTAGTTGTGTGTATAATATGTAAATATGACGCTAGGCCCAGGCTATTTGGCTGCGCTTGATACCAGTCTTCCTCTGTTTTCTTGACGTCATGGAAATTTTAAAATGTCCCTTAAACCGCTAGTAGCAATTACTGGTGTATTATTTTACTACCTGGGCAACAAACTTCATAGCAAATGATGTATTTATGTATATTCTTTTTGTTTTACTTTGCTGTCTTCTCGCGAAGATAATGGCGAAGAAAACAGCGGCCATTCGGCCAATCAAAAGGCGCGCTTCTTCCAGAAACCCCGCGGCACAGAAAACATCTTAAAAGTTTTGTTTTAGCTARCAGAGTTAAAATGTCTAGACAAAAGAAGATCAGTGTGATTCTGAGTAACACTTAAAATTCATTGACATCAAAGCAAATAGTATATATTATTTATATGGATTGTGGCAAGTGCAGAATACCATCTGCCGACGATCTTTTCAAGTCGWCAAAAGTAAGTAGCATCATTGCGTAATCATATTAATTGCGAGGTCAAAAGGTAAGATTAAGATAGTTTTGTCAAGTAAATGAAACTTTCTCTAAAATTGTTTTAGCTCTATAGTTTTTCTCTTTCAGCATTATCCAATCCTAAAGTTTTAATGTAATTCGAATGTTTTTAGCCAAAAGTAACTAGAATGACCTATAGTATAAAATTATCTTGACACAAAATATATTATTGATTCGTACGTCGAAACATGTCAATGCTTCTTTTCAAAGTCCTTCCTAGCACTTGTTTACATGTGTTTGTTGTGTGGTAAACGTTTTTTCGAGAGTTATGAATGAACGAGACTTTCAAAGTTTTAAAATTTCTTTTTTCCTTAAAAGATCTAATACATTTTTTCCACTCCTAGTATTCCAAAATGATGCAATTAAAATTACTGGCTTTAATTCTTGTGTGTGCGACGARTTTCCTGGCCAAAATCGAAGCGAAGAAATCCTGTTCTGGAGCAGTCTTTTCTCGCTACAGAAACCACAAGTTTCATTGCGGTGTTTTCAAAACTTTTCCTGCTAATGCTTTTGATTGTCAAGAGGAATGTGTGGCGATCTTAAATTGCTTTGCTATCAACACATATACAAACGATGCTGGGGTAGAGATGTGCGATTTGGTCAATGGTTCGATAGAGTCTAATAATTATAATGGACGAGAAGTCTGTCTGGTAAGAAATACAGRAAGCGAATACAAGGAATTATCGGTAGGTATACTTCTTCTTAAAACCTTCTGCCCTCTTTCTGCCACTTTGGAGTTCTAAGCAATATCAGTCACTCGAAATTGTTTCTACTCTAGACAACTCTTATGACATGTCCTCGTCAGGAAGACCTTTGTGCAACGCCAAGGAAAGGTAGTTAGGAAACTCAAACATGTTCAATGATGACCAAGAACAACTGTGTTAATGCTATTGAAGTCAATTAGTACTGTATTGAAGTTAGTAAACTGTAATAAGTCGTGTCATACGCTATGCACTTGACCATGCATTTGTATCAACAGCGTATGCGAACAACTGGTATCGACTKGGCTCATTTGAATATGAAAATATCAAGTCAAGAAAAAATTGGGAAGAAGCAAACAGCTCTTGTTCTGAAAAAGGTGGMGCTCTGGCGTCCATTGATAGCGACCAAGAACTTCGTTTTATTACTGAAGTATTCCTGAAATCTCCTGTTACAGGTTTGTACTTATTGTCTTATTGCATTGTTCATAAGTCCTCTCTGATGCAAACCACTGTAGACAAGGACTATATCCGTCAATAGTGGTTCCTCTTTCCAAGAGTTTGACAAGCAAATTAAAATTCACAAGGCATTTACGTTGTATGTTCAACTGTCTCTTATAGTTGTAGATGCAATGGATCGTCTCAAACCAGAGTTYTACTGGAAACTCGACGGAAGCGATAAAGATATCGTGTGAGTAGATAACGTGTTGCGGCAACATGTACGGCCCTGCAGGTCATAACAAACCGTGAGTTATACACCTATTTCAAAAAACGTTGTCGTCACCACGACACAGTCCACAGTCTTAAGCCTGCAAAGAATCTCGGGGTTTCCTAGTCTCTTTTAACAGCCGCGACTTCCGCCGACCGAGAGTATTCCAGTTTCGAATTCTCCAATGCTCTATGTTAGCCTCATTTGTGCGCAATATATTCGTAATTGTGAGAATAAAAGTCAGTGAGATTTCAAATCAATTCTATTGTCTCTCTTTTCAAATTCCATGCGTTTTTTAAGAACTTTAATTATTTATGGTAATCCCGAGATTCTTTGCAGTCTCAAGACCGTGGACTGTGTCCTGGCGACGACAACGTTTTTTGAAATAGGTGTATAAACACTATTGTGTTATCTTCACTGCTTAGTGAGTTCATTGGATGAGGAAATCGTTGAATCCCAAGGGCCTGGAGACTATACATTAAATCTTACTATAAACACCAGTAGAATACTCTTTGTTTTGTATATGACCTGCGTATTGCCAGCAATTGTGCTTGTTCAAACTATTTTGAGCGTTTTCGAGTAAAAAAGGTTAGATTTCAAATCCTCTTCTTTAGCCACAGCAATCTCGTACACAGCACCCTTGTCCCTCTTACTGCGCAAATTCGACGAAAAACAGTTTAGCCTAAATCCTTTGTCCCAGACCAAACAAGTTCCATGCTTTTCCAAACTGAAGCTGTCTATGAAACTAAAAGATTTAATATAATATTACAATTTTGTAAAGATTTAATTGCTTCATTCCGTACTTTTAGTTTGCACGGTGATGCTGAATTCCGAAATGCTAATAAAAAATCCACTGCTGCCCTAAGACTCAAAGGCACCGCAGACTCATATGCTACAACACCAGTTATTGATATCAAGTCGACAAGTTTTACGATCACATTATGGGTCAGGTTTGAAGGGTTTTATGGAGGTCATACTAAGGGACATTTGTTTAGCTACTGGGATGAAGACGCCCTGATTGGTAAAATATTCCTTGAGAGTTCGTCATCTGGCATTATCGTTATAAAGGCGTATTTCGAAATGGCGCAGCTAGGGACATTACAAGGAGGGTAAGAGCTTCAATCTCGTACCCAGAGCCCGCGTAACTTTTGTTCTGCTACAAATTCTCTGCCGCTGTCCAGAAGAAATGCAGGCTCTGGTGAACGATAATCAGTCTGCGCATGCGTCGGCATTCTCCAATCAGAGTCTGCACTTTGTCGGCGTAAGAAAATGCGAGGGAGGCTAGGTTTGGGAGACGTACTGTTTTTTCTCGAATCGCGTGTTGTATTTTTAATATTAACTCTTCAAAAATTAACCTTTTTCACTGATTTGTTGTCAAGGGATGTTAAGGCCAGGAATTGGTATCACATTGCATTCAAATGGAACAGATCGAGCAAAGTAGCAAAATTGTTCCAAAATGGTGTCAAAGTTGCTGAGAAAGTTTCAACATCTTCTGGAGACTTGGATCTACCTGCCAACTCTATCCGAAGTTTTGATATTGGCTACAAGCGTGATGCCAAACGTGGCATCATTGCTAAGATTGCCAGACTTGCTGTTTTCACTCGTTCATTGTCTGCTAGCAACATCGACATGATATACAGTAAGTGCATGACGTCTTAAAGGGACATTGTCAATGGATGACATGCGCAGTATCAGTCTCACCTCTAACGGGCTTTGAAAGTATAGCATAACCTTCGAGGTAAATCATTTTGTGGTGCTTTTGACACACTTTGGAATATTCTAGATCTGTTTACGTTTACGATCTGATTTATGTCGCGCCAACTTGGAGTCATAAACTTGAAAACACTAGCCTAGTGTTTTCAAGTTTACTCGCGCATGCGTGCCATTGACAGTGTCCCTTTAACATAGCTAGTATCGTTATAACGGACATTCTACCATGAGGTCTTAACATAACCCTCGTTATAACGGACATCCTTCGGGACGGTAAAGAGTAGTCGTGAATTTATGTAGGTATCGTAATAATGGGGTGGTCGTAATATCAGTGTGACCGGCGGGGAGAGTCGACTTTATAACCAGGTTATGGGTAGATTGCGGTCGCTAGAACTTGAAAAAATCGCTCGAAAGAATGTGAGCAAGTGACGTCATGAAAAAAGTGTGGCCGCCTGATGGCAATCCTCACTGAAGGTTTGGGTGTCGAGGGCTTTCTTCAGCTTAAACGACTTTTCGATCGAATGTTCATTTGTTGGTATTGTGGGAATTTTCATCTGCACAGCCGGTGTGTGCGCGCCAAAATAAAGTACGTTCTATCGCTAGGTATCGATATTGTAATTGAGCAGAATCTCTACCCTTGTCATCTTAAGAATGCTTTCATTTCTACTTCTCATTGTTATTAACTTGTTTTCGTACTTGTTTCCAGACACACCAAAATTCAATGACAACTTCCTGTTTTATGAAAAGTGGATCGGCAAGAAGCATGCGCACACTGACTTTAACGACCAACTTGTCGATCAAAACAGCACCTGCGTGTCCGTGAGGGCCAGGGAACCATATGGCAAAATGGATAAAATAGACTGCGATTCTACAATGGAATTCATTTGTAAAAAAACGGTATAACTGGTTATAGCAAGTCACGGCCACTTYGGGAGTTGGTCCAATCGTAAGGGACAAATTACGAGCCATGTGGGATAGCCTTATAAAAGATACGAACATRYGTATTGGGTAGATAATTACAATCCATGTGGGATACACAATGGTATGATTTAAGCGAATAGAGMATAACAAACTGAGCATGTGCAGTGGCTAGATTCCTAGAATTAATACACATTCATACGGTAAAAAGTCAATCAAAGTAATTTTCACATATTTATTTATCATATATTTTCTGTACATTACGCTTATAAAATAAGGCTCTCATTTGAAACAAAACCTTAAAATTCCCTAAATTATAAACGAGTAATTTACATCAATGTACAAATGTAAGGATGAGAAAAAGATGCTTTTTAAATTTTGGTAGAGTTTTTTTWTCTCAAAGAGACTCATCTCAAAAAAGGCAAATTAGCTTTCCTAAGAAAAACAGTCTWTCTTGTTTTGCATGAAATTTCTCAAGAAACAGTTCTTATGTAAAGTATTTTTAAAACTATATCTCTTCCTTAAAAAGTCATTCTAAAAAGTTAGTCTTCTTCTTCCTTTGCCTTTGCTTCACTCACTTTTAACAGATRATTGACAAGGTGTGAAGAAGTTTGATTGGTCCAAAGGCACAAAGCCATTGAAATGTTTCCCGCCAYAAGATTACTTGATGTAAAAGCAACTCGCAGGGCAAATTGAGTCATTTGTTAATAAAAATGCCTTACGCAACTTTGCTGCGTCAGATTGACCGGTTTGAATGCATACGATTAACGTTGTTGGTAACACGTTTCTTTGCTAGTTTGAACCACGTTAAGTGAAGAACTGGCATTTTTTTCTTTCCGTAAGTCAGCAGRTTTGACTTGAACTCTTTACACAGACGGGTATTCTACGGAGCAACGTAATACGTTACGTGCTTGCACTTGCTTTACGTTCGCATCCGTATAACCTGGTGATTTGCTTTACGGGCGTCACGCGTTCAAGCGTAAGGCTATGATTGCGTGACTTGCGTAAACAGGGGGTGTTTCAGTAGCTCCATCGCTGGGGGTCGATCTTCCGGTTTTTGCTCAAAGCAACGTAGGAGTACATCTCGAATGGCAGGATTYAGTGAATCAGGTATTTCCGGTGGTGAAGTTGCACAGGCAATCTGAGGATTAACCAATCAATCAATCAACCAACGAATCAATCAATCAACTAACCAATCAACTAACCAATCAATCAATCAATCAAGGAAACAATCAATCAACTAATCAATCAATCAAACAATCAGCTAACCAATCAATCAAGAAACTAACCAGTCAATCTACAAATCAATCAATCAATCAATCAATCAATCAATCAATCAATCAATCAATCAATCAATCAATCAATCAATCAATCAACCAACAAATCAATCAATTATTCAATCAGTCAGTCAACGAATCAATCAATCAATCGACTAACCAATCAATCAACCAACGAATCAATCAACCCATCAATCAATCAATCAATCAATCAATCAATCAAGCAACTAGCCAATCAATCAACAAATCAGTCAATCATTCACTTACTTTAAAAATCAAAGCAAGATGGTTGGAGTGTTCATGCGCATTCCAAGGAGGTTTGCCCGTCGCCATTTCAATAAGAAGACACCCAACACTCCAAACATCGCAACTCCTGCCATAGCTTTCTCCACGGAGGACCTAAAACGAGAAAATTGGTAAAAGAGTTGGTTTTAATGAGAAAAATCTACATTAATCTTTGTGTAGGTAAATAGTCATAACTATCTTACGTCAATAGTCTCCTTCACGGTTACCTGCGCCATCTTGAAAAGTAGCCGTGCCTTGTCATCGAAGCGAGACAACCGTTGAGCGCGCAATGATAGAAACCTTCTTTCACACCTATAGACAATTATTCACAGGTATCTATCATTGCACGCTCAACGGTCGTCTCGCTTCGATGCAAAGGCACGGCTACCTTTCAAGATTCATTCGAGTAAGAAAACACACACAAAAAAAATACACATAAAGATAAACAGAACTATTTAGGATATATTTTTTGACTGTTATGGTAGGTACCTCGGGGGCCATGAAAGCTATGGTGCCCAAGAGTTGTCCTTGGAACTCTCCAGCTCCTGTTATTTGAGTCGCCAATCTTGCTGCAGCACCAAAGTCAGCTATTCTAATGTTTTGTCCCGTAGAATCGACAAGAATATTGGCACCTTAAAGTATAAAAAAAAAATAAAAAATCTATAATAGAATATAAAAACAAAATATTCATTTTCCCGGGGGGACACAATCTCCCTCGCTCATAACGAGCAATACGTCCTGACATGTATACAACACAGGGTTCCCAAAGGGTTAGGTTTAGGGTAAGGGATAGGGTTAGGTTATATTGAGGTATATAAAGCGTATAATGAGTGTTGTATATATTGAGAAAGAGACCATCGATGTTTCAAGGGTTCACTGAATATTTGACTGAATATAGTCGTATGGATTTACGTACCTTTAATGTCTCTATGTACGACCTGATTCTGGTGTAGATGAGCTACTCCTTGAAGTATTTGGCGAGTGTAGCGAATAAGAGTCGCTTGCTCAAAGGCACCATACTTTGATAAAAGCATTGATATTGAYCCACCTAAACAAAAATGGTTATCTCAGTCACAGAGCTCCTGTAGAAGGAAACTCTGACAAACATCATTAACATGTAGTAAATACTCCATTTTCAAATTTCCCAGACATATCAAAACCTAGATAAGCCTTTCTTTAACACAATGGCTGAGACTGCAAAGATAGTGAACATTCAATCCGTTCAACATTCAATATCTTCTCAACAAAAGTCCTTCAGTGCAAAGCAACGTCTCCTTTTAAAATGATTCCGGGAAGAAAGGCTTTGTACAAAAAAACATCCATCGCCAAAATTGTCTTACCAGCCATCCACTCCAAGAAGATATTAAAATGCCCAGCATGTTTAGTTGCACCAAGACACTTAATAAGGTGTGGATGTTGTAGTTTCCCAAGTAGGGTAATTTCATCCATGATTGACTGGCAAACTTTATCTTGCTCAGATTTGGAATTGCGACAGAAAGAGACCTATGGCAAAGCAATCTCTCAAATGAGAAAACTAGTAATCATGTAAAAGCAACGTCAACAGCAATGACACTATCAACAGCAATAACAGCAACAGCAGCAGCAGAAACAACAGTATTAAGAACACCAGCAACAACATCAATGACAGCAGAATCAACAACAACAACAACAGGGGCAACAACATCAATAACACTATCAACAGCAATAACAGCAGAATCAACAACAGCAACAACAGCAGCAAAAACAACAACAATGACAACAACAGGGGCAACAATAGCAATAACACTATCAACAGCAATAACAACAGCAACAAGAACAATAAGAACAGAAATAGCGATAATTATGCAAACAACTTTGATACCTGTTTAACAGCCATCAATGAACCATTAAAAACATCTCTTGCTGCATAGCACGAAGAAAATGCACCAGTACCAAGAAGGTCTCCTTTCTTCCAGTGAATGTTTTCCATGTATAAATGCTTGGTGTTTACAGCTTTTTCTATTGACTAAAAAAATTATATTACAACAACAGTTTAATTGGTAATTCAACTCACTGAATGACCATTGGTTAGGAAGTAGTGTATACTCACCTCTGGTTGYGTATAGACTATTACCATCTCATCTTCATCTACACTTGGCCGTAGACTGGGTATGGTCTGAGGGCCACGTTCCTGTACCGACACCTTCATTGCTCTGGCGACAGCCTCGTTTTCCTCTTCTTCAATCTTTTTTTGGCATTTATTATCAACGGTAATAGCAGGTAGCCTAGGTGACTCGCCTTCAGAACGAGACCAGTCTAATAACTCCAGGTCTCTGGTTGGCGASGTGATATCTCGAGGTAGATTAAGACATAGAAAGTTTGGTCTTTGTAGTGATTCTACTAGTGATTGTAATATTTCTGCTTCCGAGGGATTTTCACTTTCGTCTGCAGTTGAAGTACTCTCAATTCTACGTGTTGAAAAGTAACCACTTGAGGWTTCRGACGCAACRGAYTCATCAATRTCACTGTCCAGGATAGCAGCACTAACCTCACTTAGAGGRCTGCTATCCCCATCRCTAGTCTCCACACTTGTAGTTCTCGATAACGTAGCTAAACGACGCTGTAGAATACTTCGCTGCGAAGGCTTTAACTTAGAWACTAACTTTTTAATATGTACAAATGCAGATGGACAATTTGCAGAGAGACTTGTGCAGCACAAAAGAATTGTTATGGCTTGYTTAGAAACCATTGTGTGGCTACATTGTCCAGCTAAGATTGCAAACCGAAGAACAGACATAAGTCTTGTCATATTGTCACTGTAGATTTCATTRCCGTCAATATGGTCACCTTCCTGGACRATAACACCKACRCTATTTTCCAGAGAAATATCTGGACTGTCTGGCTGAAGTTTAAATGAATCAATATACTCTTCTARAAGTCTATGTAAGAAATACAGGCGTCCAAGCCACCACGGCCAWGTAGCATATTCATGCGCAGTAGTAAGAATRCATGTTAGCATGAAGCCCAGGCCTCCAAGAGATTGGTGTTGGTTTTGGCCRAGCATTCTTCCTAGWGCWAGYTCCCCATTTTGGTCYTTGCAGATTTCTATGAGGACTTTGATTGATAGGGCACTGATACGTCTGGTAGAAAAAGGAGTAGAAAGAAATATATAATTATGATTTTAGTGACAAATAATTCAGTCATCCATTAATCCATCCATTTGTGCGTTCATTCATTCAATCATTTTTTCATTTTTTTTTACTTTTATATTTATATTCATTCTTCCATCTATTTATTTTTTCTTTACTTGCCTATTAAGTCAGGCAATCAATAGAACTATTGAATGAAAATCACATTACCATACCTATTTCCATCGGAGCATTTTGACATGATRGTTTCAACAACTGGACGAAGCAATGCCTGTATGGAAACTTTGTCCTCGTCACAAGTATACCTTGTCAGACCAAGCATTACCCGCAATGTTCTCTACAAAACAAAAATGAATAACTGAATGAATGGATGAATGAAAGATGGGAGAAATAAATGAAAAAGTAAATGGTAAAGAAATAAATGAATGAATATGCAAAAAATTGACACATGAATGCATTAGAAAATGAAATATAAATTTAAAAAAGCAATCAAATTGATGCTTTTTGTTGACATGATGGTGCCATATAATGTATTATACTTAAACCAAAGATTTTTTTCATCAGAATCTGTTCATGACACCATCATATCCACCAGTCATGTACTTTTCAAGTCTCAAGAGCTCAAGAGAATGATGAAAACCCAACAATATCTCAATTACTCACCAGAGCTGCTACATAAACCTTATACACAGGGTCCCCACACATCATAGACAGCAGCGAGCAGCACACCTCAAGTGACGTCATCGAGGTGGTCCTGTCTTCACTGTTAATCAGAATTGACTCCAAGTCTTTACTGAGTCTGCGCAAAGCTGTCTCTCGTATGCTCCATTCTCTTGAAAACATGCAAGAGACTATGTTTTCACCTAATACCTGAAAGACACATGTGATATTGTTTAAAAATAGATGAGGTGACGGTTTTGTCCGCCATTTTGGACCGGTAGGCATAGTGTCGCAAAATAACAAGGAATGACCGGGAAATCGATGTCAAATAATTCTCGCTGAATTCAAATTCAGAAAGAATTATCAATTGCAAATGTTAGATACTACAAAAAGGAGCTGACTGGCCAAATTTGAAGGATGTGCTTCGTCTAGGGAGCGAGAAAATTTATTTTTAGTTCTCAATACATTTCTTTGTATTTTTCACGCGCGTCACGCACTGATGACCCCGGAAATTATAACGAAATGTATTGAAATTACAAAGAAATGTATGGAGAACTAAAAATGAGTTTACTCGCTCTCTAGATCAAGTACGCCTTTCAAATTTGGCCAGTTAACTCCTTTTTGCAGTATCTAACGTTTGCAAATGATAATTCTTTCTGAATTTGAATTCAGCGAGAATTATTTGACATCGATTTCCCGGTCATTCCTTGTTATTTTGCGACACTATGCCTACC